AAAGAAATAACCTGATTTTAACATATTTTCTCATAAATCTGCCCGAATTTTCTTGATTTTTCCTAGCGTTTGCCCGAATTTCCATGGTTTTCCAAAATTTTGGGGGGCAGTTGCCCCCCCCCCCTGTCTCGTACGCCTATGTCAATAAGGCATTTACAACATGAACATAATACGAAGCCAAAGTGAAAGTGTGAAAGTGAAAGAAACTTTAAAGAAAGCGTGCTAATTCTCGTATTTTACTCGTATGTACTCGTATTTTACTCGTATGTACTCGTATGTACTCGTATGTACTCGTATGTTACTCGTGTGTACTCGTATGTTACTCGTGTGTACTTGTATGTTACTCGTGTGTTACTCGTATGTACTCGTATGTTACTCGTATGTACTCGTATGTTACTCGTATGTACTCGTATGTTACTCGTATGTACTCGTATGTACTTGTGTGTTACTCGTATGTTACTCGTATGTACTCGTGTGGTGTTTTAGTCACGATCCTCGTGGGCTTAGCAAAGTGCTCCAGGATTCAAATTATAACAATGGTTGATTTCTAAAGGTCTCCTTTTCCTAATATACAGGGTGTCTCAAAAAAACCCAAAATCATTGAAATAACGTATTGTTCGAATTTCAATGCCGTAACACAAAGGATTTTGACAGGGTGATTAATTTGTTTTAAAAAATTAAAATATCTTTGTAAAGTAACGTTTGTTTGCTCATGGGAATTTAAAAATGCTTCGTAAATTGTAATATGCGTAATATGCATTCGTGGGTTTAGTACTTTATGCCTGACATAACAAGTTTACGCTGAGTATTACCATTCATTGTAGCAGTTATGTCAATCTTTTATGCACTCGTGGGATTAACTTAGTGCTAGGGCATTGAATATCGAACAATACGTCAATTTCAATGATTTTGGGGTTTTTTGAGACACCCTGTACAGGGTGTATAAAAAAAAGCGAAACCTCGGAATTTCCCAAGAAATCGACATTGTTTTAAAGACAAAAGATTTTAGGCGCCTGGGAATTTAAAATAGCATAACTGTCAAAATTACTGCACACGCGAGTGCATAAAGCAAAATTTATGCATTTATTTAATGCACAACAACAGTAATATGATCTATTAGCAATTCGATTTCAATTCCCAGGGGCCTAAAATCTTTTATGCTTAAGAATTGCAAAGTGATTTCTTAGGAAATTCCGACTCGGTTGCAGTTTTTTTGAACACCCTGTATGCACTCCATCAATAGGGAGCTTTAGATTTGACTACGAGTACGACTACGAGTACGAGATTTGATCGCGTGCGAGGAAATTACCGTAGTCGTTTTCGTTTCCATTCAAATGTTGCTTTTATAACAGTAAACCAACAACTAGAGAAAAAGTTTCATAAAGTAAATCTCCTGCCGACTAAAATCCCCTACAAAACGTGTAAATAAGTCATAACATTAAAAACAGGCCAGATATTTAGCACTAATATATTACTTGCGCCGGATAAACGCTATATAAATGCTACAAATTATTTTTGGAAAACAAAAAAAGTCAACTTTCTTTGTTTTTTTTGAAAAGTCGTCGTGAGGACTACGAGGTTTCTCCACAATTTCGTACTCAGATGGGCGACGGCTACGACTTTTTAGCGTCAGCACGGGATGGCGTAAGCATACAGCATGCGTTTAGCTTGACGAATCTCGTACTCGTAGTTGTACTCGTATAGTCAAATCTAAAGTTCCCTAGTATTTCACGCACTACGGTTCAGCGTATGTGCAATTGAAAAGGCATTCAAATTTTAACAATATGCTTGATTTCTAAAGTCTCCTTATTTTCTATACACCCTGTATACTAATGATGCACTAGTGCGCGCCAGTTCCTGTTGGATTAAGTTCCAATTAAAAAAGTTAAAAGTACTCTAGGTTAAAACAGCTCATAATTAATTCTAGTTTAAATCGTTCTATATACAAATTGTTCTCCCAACACAACCGTTCATAATGTCTTCAGGTTGGTTCTGTATTTCAGAAGCCTCGATATATCTTCGTTCCTCGTCATTTCGGATATTTGAATGCAGAATCCCCCAAGTGATCTTATTTGCTGTACGTTTCTTATGGGATAATAAATGCTTAAACACAGTTTGTTTCTCCATTGTTAGATGTTCTTTAATCCGTGTTCCTATTGTTCGGCTAGTCTCTCCTCTGTCCGAATGGTTCCGCACGTTACACACTTAATTTCGTAAATAACATTCTTCATCAAGCAGCGATTCGGTTTGGTGGCTAATTTGCATGTATCGCAGTTGCGGGGGCAGTTTTGTTTATTCTTAGGTGGGCCAAAAACTTTTGATAATGATTTGCCATTCACGAAGTGTATTTTAACATTCTTTATACGCTATCGGTTTAACACTCCTAAGGCCCGTCGTTTATATTCTTCGTTAATAAATGGGAGTTTAAGGTAAATATGCTCCTGCTGATCGTCGCGCTGGTGCCTGTCGGAAAGGGTATTTCTTATAACTCCTTTGACGAATTTAGGGGCCGATTACATGGAGCATTTTCAACCCCGGGGTTGAACTCAGCCCTGTTAACCGGGTTGAAATGTTTTGCGATTATATGGACGATTTCAACCCCGGGGTTGAAACGTTATACTATACGTTCGCGGCATCGATTCGTTATGGAAGTAAAAAAAGCCTTTATTTTGTTTTCTTGTAATAAATAGTCACTACCACGTATGCTCGAATAAGACATGATAATTTCAGCCCTGGGTTGAAACGATTACATGACAAAATTTTCAACCCAGGGCTGAGTTCAACCCCGGGGTTGAAATTTCAACCCTGCTAGCTGAAGCAGGGTTGAAATTTCAACCCTGGGGTTGATCTCAGCCCTGGGTTGAAAATTTTGTCATGTAATCGCGCGTTTGATTTTGATAGAGTTTTGTATTACAGACGGGGCTGAAATTTCAACCCGGTAAACAGGGCTGAGTTCAACCCCGGGGTTGAAAATGCTCCATGTAATCGGCCCCTTAGTAGGGTAACTTAAACCATTGTGCACAAACAATTGTGTGATTTGCTTCAATGATTGTTTTTGAGTAGCACAATCGGTAGAGCATCTAACTGCCCTCTTTATTACAAACTACCAATCCACAGTCGATGCATCACACCCTGGGATAATAGGGACCTTAAGCAAACAGGACGGCAACGCGACGACGACGGCTATTCACACAATGGTATTCCTGATCTCGTACAAAAGAAATGAATAATTAAAAGCCCCACGGGAGTTATAGACGTTGTTGTTAGGGCTTTTTACAACGGCAAACCAGAGATTTTCACGTTTCGTGTACAACGCAAACATGTCAAGACGCGACAAGTGAAACTATAAATTTGATGAGCAGACGCGTTTTTAACCATAAAGCCTTTGTTTTGATCTCTTCAAACTGAACTCAATTCATATATGCATGCAGTGGATGATACACAACAACTCTTCTTCGCAAAAAATTATTTGAAGATGTTTGTTTTGGTTGTCGTCGCGTTGGCGCGTTGCCGTTGTACATGCTTAAGGTCCCTAGTAGGGAGCTTAAGCATGTAAGACGGCAACACGACGACGACGGCCAAAACAAATTCCTTCAAATAAATGATAGTAAAGAAACCTTGTCGTATATTATAATTCGTATGAAATTGATACAGTATAAGAAGTTGAAAACATTGGCTTTATGTTTGGGAAGAGTTCTACTGAACCGAATTTTAAGTTGCACTTGTTACGGCTTGAAATGCAGGCGTTGTATAAAAGACGTGAAAATCTGTGTCTTGCGGTTGTCAACAGAGCGACGACCACGTCTGAAACTCCCCCGGGACTTCAATTATTTATTTCTTTTCATTGAGTGATTGTATTGGTTGCCGTCGTCGTCGTGTTGACGTCCTACATGCTTAAGCTCCCTAGTCATGGTTCGGTGGCGTCTAAACGAGCAGTTTTAATAGGCGAAATAAAGAGGGCAGTTAGATGCTCTACCGATTGTGCTACTCAAAAACAATCATTGAAGCAAATCACACAATTGTTTGTGCACAATGGTTACCCTACTAAATTCGTCAAAGGAGTTATATAGCTAAGAAATATCCTTTCCGACAGACACCAGCGCGACGATCAACAAGAGCATATTTACCTTAAACTCCCATTTATTAACGAAGAATATAAACGACGGGCCTTAGGAGTGTTAATTAAACCGATCGCGTATAAAGAATGTTAAAATACACTTCGTGAATGGCATATCATTATCAAAAGTTTTTGGCACACCTAAGAATAAACAAAACTGCCCCCGCAACTGCGATACATGCAAATTAGCCACCAAACCGAATCGCTGCTTGCATGATGAAGAATGTTGTTTAAGAAATTAAGTGTGTAACGTGCGGAACCATTCGGACAGAGAAGAGACTAGCGGAACAAAAGGAACACGGATTAAAGAACATCCAACAATGGAGAAGCAAACTGTGTTTAAGCATTTATTATCCCATAAGAAACGTACAGCAAATAAGATCACTTGGAGGATTCTGCATTCAAATATCCGAAATGACGAGAACGAAGATATATCGAGGCTTCTGAAATACAGAACCAACCAGAAGACATTATGAACGGTTGTGTTGGGAGAACAATTTGTATATAGAACGATTTTAAACTAGAATTAATTAGGAGCTGTTTTAACCTAGAGTACTTTTAACTTTTTTAATTGGAACTTAATCCAACAGGAACTGGCGCGCACTAGTGCATCATTAGTATATGTTGATTACTTCTCTTACAATAGAACTAAGTTAGAATTTTTAATTAGATATGCTTTTATATAAAATAGGATCTTAATATTGTTACTAACAGTCCACTGAAGAAGCCTTAACCGGCGAAACGTTTGGATATTAACAAATATATAGTTAATTTTATGAGTGAAGAAATCCTTACCACAAGTTTATATATATATATATATATATATATATATATATATATATGGTGTTCAAAATGAAAAAAATTAAAAATAAAAAATTTAAAAAAATTTAATGTGCTGCTACTTAAGTTTCACGTATACCGATCGTCAGACAGCCTGTCTGACGATCGGTATACGTGAAACTTAAGTAGCAGCACATTAAATTTTTTTTAAATTTTTTTAAATTTTTTTAAATTTTTTATTTTTAATTTTTTTCATTTTGAACACCATATTAAGCTCTGCGAATTTCCCGCATCGAGCACTGTACTCGTTTTGGCTTCAACAACCAAGCAAGTTATATATATATATATATATATATATATATATATATATATATATATATATATATATATATATATATATATATATATATATATATATATATATAACGACTGAACAAATTCCACTAGGCATCTTTATTACTATTAGTTTCGTACCACAAGATGTGGCACTCATCAGATAAATTATATTATATATATATATATATATATATATATATATATATATATATATATATATATATATATATATATATATATATATATAAATTATATATAATTATATATATACTGCTCTAATATTTACTCGTCGCAATCCTCAAGAAGAGGTAGTGCATCACTGCTTGCATGGTTTTATAAACCTATTATAGGTCTATGTCTCCTTTTGGGTTTGCCCTGCGTCTCCATCAACCACAATCTGTCAGATTATCGCGCAGGTAACAAAGGTTGGTGACACTGTGACTACTGACACAGCTACAGTAAGATGGAAGTATATACTAACCTATATACAACCTTTTCCCTCAGGAAAATTTAAATGACAGCTAGTAGACATGTCTTTTTGACAAGGTTCACTACTATATTCACGGATTGTTTTTTATTTTCTGGAGTTTTTAATTCACCTTAAAATATTCCCCGATAACACGCAATGGCAGCATGCATGTTCATATGACAAACGTATTTAGTTTATCCCAACATAGCTGAATGCGTAAATATGACCGGCTTATTCATTAAAACATGATATTCAATGCACAGAAACAAACCTCATTAAGTGTAATGCGCTCTCCAGACTTTGGGATCAGTTGTGAGGTAAACATCAAAACATTTCCATCGTCTGGGAAGAGAGGAGACCAAGAATGACCTTTACCCACACAGCGCAGGGAAACCTGCTGATTGTTCTCTGTGTTATAACCTTTGATCGCCTTAACGACTTTTTTAACTTCTTCAACCGTCTTGGGTTTGACAGAAATTACTGTCATCTTTTGCGTCATTCCCCAGTTTTGAAACGTTTCAAGAAGAAGAACAGGAAGCTGTCCGACTTTCGACTGAAGTTTCTCCATTTTTAAAACAAGCAATCCATTATTGTCTGCCATGGTACCACTATAGTGAAAGTTAAGAGTCTGAAATTCGTATATATTGATGTAGACATCTTGAAAGATTTTCGCAAGGTTGGGACTCAGAGGCGTAACTTCTGGAGGGGTGTGAATCCCTCATTGTGTGAAATTCGTCGGGAAAATTCTATCAAACATTGAAAAATTTGGCGAGCAAAAGGACATTTAAGTGGCTGTCTCACTAAGTACCATGCAGAGCGTTTCAGGTTGAAAATTAGATTTCGTTTATATTTTTATAACTAGTTCTGACTACACTATTAGATCATCCCAAGTTTTTGAAACCCTTCAATGGCAACCAATAAAAAATATCATGGACAAACGAGATCTAACAATGATGTTTAAAGTTCTAAAAAACATGGCGCCTAATTACTTAACAATAATGTTTCGCAAATGTGACAATTCTAATTATTCATTACGGAGCAACAATTTAAAATTGAGCCTTCCTAAGCCAAAAACAGATTTTCTAAAAAGAAGCTTCTCCTACCGTGGGGCTGTCGCGTGGAATGGTCTGCCCTCTGAACTTTTGCGAGTGGTAGACGAACCTCGATCTATTTCTTCTTTTCGTAGCTTGATTAATAATTATTTATAAAACCTTGTAATAGCTTGTATATGTTGTAATATTTTAACTACTTATAAATGTTGCAAGTACTATTTAAACACACGGTCCTTTGAAAATCACACAAGTGAAAGGCTACCGTGTTTAAATATCTTTAAATAATAATGGAAACTTTATTACTTTCAATAATATATACACACACTACAATGATAAACCTCTCTTTACAGGTAGTTTACCAGTGTCTACTTGAATTAACACTCTACATAATAACAATATTAGTATGACATTAGTTGTGGGTTATCCCATTCTATGTTACGCTTACAGAATATATAATACGAGGACCTGATACATATGTTAATAATTTTCCGAACATAGTACTTTCTACATTGTTCATCAAACTTTAGATCCTTCAGCATTTCGGTGAAATCTAGCGACGGGTGGCTGAAAACTCCTAATGAGCTAATCGATAAATTAACAAATTTCACTTTTTCATAATTTTTGAGCTGTTCGTTAATTAGATCTTGATATTTTTGTCTTTTTCGAGTTGCATTAGTGAGGAGATTAGATTCAAATCCGACGGTAAGTTCAAGTATATAAATACATTTGTTTTCAAGTGTTATCAAAAGCCTGATCAGGGCGCAATTCATCTCCGGTGATAGCAGATGGACTGATATAGCCAGGAAGGTCAGCATAAAGGTTACAATGGTTCACAGATTTAAGTATGGATGCTATGAAGTTAAGCACCGAATCATGACGCCACGTGAAACGTCCTTCATTTAGGCAGGTCTTGCATCCTGCGACGACGTGAAGAAGTGATTCTGGATTCAAACAAAACGAACATTCGGATGTTGGTGATATTCCCCATTTCAGAAGGTTTTTGCGAGTCGGAAGAGTGTTATTTATATACCGGATAGTGAAGTTAAATATATTCTTCGGAAGTTTACTCTGAACGGAGGACCACATAATCAAATAATTTTACAGTAATAATCAAATAATTTTACAGTAGTTTGCAGCTAATCGCCATTCTGTGAATAACTTTCAACTTCAATTGGTATTTTTCGGCAAAATTTCATTTGTCTCAAAATAGTAAGATTAGCAATAAAAAATACATAACACCGTAGTTTGCATGCGGAGTTTTTGGCACTTGATTTGGGTCAACGATACTGCTCCAGGCTCCACACACTCGAGGACCAAGAACAATGACATCTCTCGACAAGTCCAAGTTAGTCAGTCTGTCTGGGAGTATTTGTCCGCACCTGCACAGTTTAGTTATTTATTTGGAAACATGTGCATTACCCAATCATGGATGATATTTTATCTATGAGAGTCTGCTTTTTATCCTTTGATTTGAACTGAAGTTCAAAATGCGCACAAATTTCTTTCAGCATCGTTATTTTAAAAACAGATAGGCTCTTCTGTTTGTACATGTCACATAAATCATACGCGTCGTGGTATATAGGATGGCATATGTCAGTCGCAGCAAGCATTTTCCACAAGTTGTCCACAAGCATTTCTCTTTGTGCTTTCGCCTCAAAATGAAGAACACGTAAACTTACGCATTCTCCTTCACGAAGGACAGGTAAACTTACGCTAGTTATCTCCATGCAGTTTCCCTCCGCGTCATTAAAGTTACAACACTTGAAGAAGTAAAAGTAGCGTCGTAATGCTTACGAGATCCTACTTGAATTAATTTCCCATAATGAGTAAAAACTGCTTTTGATAATGACATATTGAAAACATCTCTTCCTGTACCCTTACGAACAGGACCCGAATGGAGGGAATACTGGCACGGTTTTAGCGGCCTCCAAAATCGTTCCAAATTATGACGGTGGGACGGACAAATAAACATTATCTTAAACTGGTCTTCGGTAAGATTGAACATTCCCGCGCGAATAGCAATTAACTCGTTTTCTCTTAAGTTCGATTTAGAAAGATGACAGTTTGATATAGTTGAACACTCATATCTTCCTTACAATCAAATAAGCAACTAATCTCCTGTAATCCACAACTTTCACCACAAGAAATTCAACCAACGCCAACAAATGAACAACTTTTCTCGATAATCAAAACTAAACTAGTAATCTTCTATATCTATAATTAAACAAAACAGGTGTGGAAATTACAAAGGAACACTGTCATTGATATCATTTAAGAAGTAAGTTTCAAAAATACTCCAATAATTATTTTTAACAATGGCGCAGTGAAGAACAAAAACAACTTGTATATATAATTACATTGCGTCTGCTATTATTTTCGTGTTTTTTTTATTATTATTTTATACACTAGAGAAACTTAAAAATTGGCTATAAACATAATCCCCTTGGCATACAGACTACAGTCAACACAATTTACTAACCTCGAAATTTTTTCGACAACTCCCGAACGTTTGATTAAAGATTAAATTTGCGAGATTAAATTGTTTGTTGAAGAACACACGAAAAATGACTATTCAGGTAGCAAATTAACTATAAAGTTTTTATAAAGTTTAGTATATTGGTGCTTTCGTAATATAGCGTGTATTCTATTTATGGCACACTCATCAGTACATATTAAGCAACGATAATATTTAATATATTGTACATTATGTTCGCGTGCAACTATTTAGTAATTTTAATCAAGTTTAAAACGATCAATTGTAAAGGCTTTCCGAAAGCCTTAAAAAATTACAAGGCAGTGTTTGTATTCAAATATAAGAACTTATAAACACTATTTTATATTTATAATAATCGCTGATATAAATTAGCCTCCGCGAGTAACGCTGAACGTGTTTCCGGTTATCACAAAGGTACTAAACAATAAAGAGGTATTTTAATTAATATAGCCATAATTTATGAATTTTGCACTCCTTCATATTCCTTTTGCCGACAAGTTTTATTGCGAATAACTTAACTTTAAAGTGTATATGACATGAAATTTCTTATTTTCTTGAATGAAAGAACTCTTTAAGTTGTAGTGTAACTAATTTTTCAGTTTCCTGTTTTTATGGTTTGTTCCCGAGATATTTCAATTTGTTTGATATGTAAATGAGTGTGAATATGTCCGCTAATTTATGACGTCATGTTGGTTGCAAGCTCCTTAAAATGGTTGAATATCACTGCTATCATCCAAGATGATAATTTCAAACTTTGCTCACTGATAAATGTGATGAAACACTGGAGAAAAACGTGAACTGATATCAACAGTTTTTAGAGTTAATACATTTACAACCATTGTAAGTTGAGCTTGCAACCAACATGACGTCATAAATTAGCGGACATATTCACACTCATTTACATATCAAACAAATTGAAATATCTCGGGAACAAACCATAAGAACAAGAAACTGAAAAATAAGTTACACTACTAGAAAATACATGCATGCAGAACCCCTCACCTTGCTGACAAAACCATTGTATTTTCCGAACATGAAGTATCTAAAGTTGTTGTCATGGTAACACGATAATTTTTTAAGAATATTCTTACAAATGAAAAATCGCCTAAAAATATCACTTTTAATTACAAAATTATCAATTTCCCAACATATATATGTTAGGTATGTTATTATACGTAATATAAGCTTCAATGTAAGGTAAAATTCAACCACAAACGCTTCGCAAAACGTTTTAAAGTCACTAGTGTTCTTTATAAAACTAAACTGCCTGTATTCTTTAATTAAATGGCTTTATCGATAAACTTTGAGTTTGCAATGCCCTCATTACCCTGCGAGCAAAGTCCTCTCGTATTTCTTCTCGGCACAGCACGGAGAAGCAAGAGAGACTCTGCAGAACTTGTGTATATTCTTTGGTGGAGCCGACAATCCAAAAACTTGGATAATTATGCGTAATTTCAGGTTTGATACTGGTTTTTGTAACCGGTTTTGATCTGAACCGGAAACTACTTATTAAATCTTCTACTGGGAAATAAGCAGTTGCTTAGCAACCTTCGCGCATGCTCAAATGAATTTATACACAAGTTCTGCAGAGTCTCTCTCGCTTCTCCGTGCCGTGCCGAGAAGAAATACGAGAGGACTTTGCTCGCAGGGTAAGTTTGCAATAAAATGATTTCAAATTCTCGCATGCAAATAACTTTGCTTTCTTTTTTATTTAAAAAATTCAACATAATAAAAAAGGGAATCAATATTAATAATACACTGAAATTATATGCTGTCTTGTTAAGTTGTTTCATTTACGCAAAGGGCCAAAGGCTGTCGGGTTTTAAAGCAATTATAAAATCAATATTTAAATCAAACTTACTTTCGTTAACGTCGGCTGCCTTCTTTTAGCCGATTCTTTCGCCCTTTCTTTCAGCTGAGAAAGCTTTTGAAATTTACAAAATCTTGCAAAAATGCGAGCAAAAATGAAATATACTTGCAAGAAGTATATCAATCATCAAATCAAGAAATGTTTGCTATGTTTGCTATACCAATCAGTGTCCGCTATTCATGACAGTCCGCCATATTTTTGAGATCAGTGAGGATGACCACCCACCGAACCACTCACGGTAACCCACGCCCGCGCTCACTGATGAACTTTAGACTTGACTAATGCTTTCGTTTCCCCGGGTGTAAATAGCTGGGGGGGGGGGGAATTAGTACCCTCACATGGCGCTACGCGCCGTCTGCTTGGGGACAACTTAAAGAGTTCTTTCATTTAATTAAGAAAATAAGAAATTTCATGTCATATACACCTTAAGTATTCCACTTTAACCCTAAAAGTGTTTTAGACCCCAAGCAGGTTGCACTTTTGAGAATTTTTAGTTTGCATTTGGTACCTAATCATTAGTTGTTCGGCGAACGAAAATACCGACTTCCTTCGATGGAGACTAGTAGGCTTAAAATAAGATGTACATTCAAATTCTTTCAACGACATTCTAAAAGAAGAAGAATATGTCTCAATACGCTGAAAAAGTTTTTAATTTGACGCGAAACTTCCCGAGTTATGATGCATAATTTAACACATATTTGACCGCCATTTTCGTGGTCAAATTTCAGTGTCGCTGACGTCCAGACAAAAATTCGTCATAACTCAAAAAAAAAAGAAAAATTTAGAAATCCTAATATTAGTTTAATATCTTTTAGGATAAAGGTAGTTCATGGTAAAAATATAAAGGAAATCTAATTTTCAATCTGAAATGCTCATGTGCATGGTTCTTAGTGAGACAGCCACTTAAGTTATGTTGAGTATATGATAAAAAAATTTGAAAATCATTTTGGACTCTTTTGAAAGTATGAAACTGCAAGTGTTTTGAATCTATATACAATAATCAACTATTTGCTAGAACTACGAAAGTACCGAAACAGGACAGTGGAAATGCCATTTATGATGATTTAGAGATATCAAACCCTCATGTTGCGCCTCTTGAAAATCACATCCTACTAAACTTTAGTATCAACAATATCTTTTTATTTTCCTAATTAGATTGAATGAAAAAAATAGCAAATATCTTTTATATGAACATGGCTTTAATTTGTGAGCACGCGCCCTTTCGCCAGGCAATATTAACGGCTTATTGACCGAGCGTGAGGTCTGTACTGTGAAATATCAGACCGAGGTTTTTTAGTATGGACCGAGCGACGAAGGAGCGAGGTCCATGCAAAAAAACAGAGGTCTGATATTTCATAGTACAGACCGAACAAGCGAGGTCAATAATCGGTTTATTATATATGGCTGAACTGAGTCTGTGAGCATATGCTTTTCGCGCGAATTAAATCGGCTATCGTCAGTTTCACTGGGTAACAATATACGGTAGGCATGCATGCTCAATCAAAAACAATTTGGTTGTTTGAAATTTTTATCTGTACATTTTAATCAGGGTTCGTACACCTTTTCCCATTTAGAATTCCATGACTTTTCCATGACTTCCCATGACCATTTTTTTCAAAATCCATGACCTGGAAGTCTGGAATTTCTGAAATTCGTTAATATTATAACGATAAGAGATATAATAAAAAAACAAAATTCACTTCGCTCTTGCAAAAATCTGTTATATAACAACAATTCATATTATTGTTATAAAAAATTTAAATAAAAATAAGTAAAATTGAAATAAGTAAAATACTTTGTTAATGTTATGTAAAATTCATTCAATTTTTCATGACTTTGAAGTTTCCATGACTAAAATTGATTTTCCAGGATTTCCAGGCCTGGAATTTGGAATATTGAAATTCCTTGACTTTCCAGGTTTTCCAGGACGCACGAACCCTGTTTTAATGACACACATTTGGAAAATGAAAAATCAAAAATTTTTTCTGTTTGCAAAGCAAACATTTCCCGCCAGACAAACGACATCCGGGACACCAGTCCAGATATACGGAAAATACGGACCACGGTCCGGATATGGGTTTTTACGGGCCGCTTGTCAACCAATCAGAATAGAGAATTTTGAAAAGCCATATAATAAAAAGATATACACCCTCCAATACGTATAGGTCCAACTTACGCCCTTGTTTGTGTCCAGCAGTTGGTTATTAACAAGGTATCTGTTTTGCGGCAGCAACTGTACTTGCCGAATGAAATCCCAGCATGCAAAAACAATGTATATAGCGAACAATTTCACACAATTCTATGTTACCTTGAAACTTATGGTCCATGCAATGAAATTAATTGCAAAATATATATTACAAAATGTTAATAATACAAAGCGCGTTGAAGTCAGGCACACTTGCGGGAATTGTTATGCATTGCTCATTTTATAAGACCTTTAGTGGCCAAGTACTGCTTTGATATTTTAGAAATTAATGCTTAGTATGTCCAATGTATTCGATTTGCCATGTATGGTATTTTGTATGAATAAAATTATTATTATTATTTCATTACTTATTTTACCATATATACAATCTTGCGGCAGGATCGAAAACCAACGCTAATAGTTAAACCGACCGTTTATCTATAAAGTCTCCTGCAAATTGCTTTTGTGGAATAAATAATTTAGGCCATGGGCTTTATTTTTGTATGTTAATTGGTCTAACACTTCAACGAAACATGATTAACCAAAGTTCAATCAGTTTCAAAAGCCTTGGGACAGATAATCAAATGTTTGGTATTTTCGAAAAATTACAATTCCCCCCGCGCCCTTCTTTCAATGTTGTGTGCCTTTGCTGGGTAAAATTAATAGCGAAGACTGTTATTCACATGGTGAATCAACATTGATTGGGCCGGGAGCGGGGGGAACTAGGCGGATTTTGAGTAAGATTAGACTGCGAGCAGTCCGATTTAAATATCGCTAGGATCCTAAACCATGACTGAAATAATTTTCTCGTGGAACAAGGCAAGAAATGGCAGTTTAGGACGAAATTATTGTTTAGTTTTCCCAAGCAAAGATACTCCAAAGAGACCACCCTATCTTGCTCTTCAGTAACACTGAGAAGACGAATGCGTCGATTTCAAGTACCCCAATACATGTAATACAGTACTGTAAAATTTGAAGTATGGTGAATGATAATACTATACCACGCACATTTTCACTACCGCATTATCACACCATTCATTACATTTCGGAGACTATGAAATTGCAGTAATTGCATGGGTACTGTTTATATAAGGTTAATTTCTTGTTGAAAAACTCCTCAAAATGCTGGAAATAGCTTATCTGAGCTTCAAGAAACCCAAAATTTTCTGGGGGGCATATGCATGACCCCACACCCCTCTAGAGGCTCGCACCTTCGGTGGTCGACTCGATTGTCTCAGAATCCTAGTTACGGCCTGATAGGCTGCCCTATGACGTATACTTATTAGTTAAACCATGCATATATATCCTGGTAGCTGCAGTGATACAGACTTGCCGACTGGAACTTCTTGAGGTCGCCCGCTAAATATGTCCCCTCCAGTTACATATCCTTAAAAGAGGCCCTGCCTGCATGGATCTTCACCAATGTATTAGGCTAAATTATTATAGCATATGCACCAACAATCTTGGGTCGAAAGCTTCGCCAAAGCCGAGACAAAGAAATGAACGTGTCCACTGGCATGCAAAACAAACAAAAAAAAACCCAATTATATTTATTTTTACCATGCAAACCTACAAGGTCAAGGAACTTATTAATGTGCTTTATGACAATGGTATCGAGATAACGAAATATCTTTAAAAACACAATACATTAATTATTGAAAAAAATCCTCACAAAATGCTTGAAAACGTGACTATCTTTCTACCTCTAAATTACGGCAAATAAAAATATTTCGAAAGTCTTTAAATCTTTATTTGGCTTTGGCGTAATTGCCTCAACGTTGGCGTAATTGCCTCTATATACAATGTCTTGTCTTTTGTGATATTTGCCCGTGGGCATGGCCATGAAATGCAGGAGAGCCTACAAGGTCAAAGATCTTATTAAGTACTATTTAAAGCACGCGTAGGAGTGTTTTATCACATATAAAACACGACGCGTAGCGGAGTGTTTTATATGTGATAAAACACGACTACAAGTGCTTTAAATGGCTTAAAAAACGACTCATCTTATAGGAGTTCATTGGCGAAGTAATTTTTAAAATAAACTTTGTCTAAACCGAGAAAATCAAAGCTAAAGTTTATGTAAATTAACATGATTTTTTATCACATATAAAACCACGACACGCTTATGATTTTTCTTTGTGTTTTGCTCCTGAATTATTAATGATTTTTTAATGTGATTTATGACAATGGTATCGAGATAACGAATTATCTTTAAAAAGCACAATACATTAATTTGTGTTGGTATGACGTCAGACTTCGACGTTATTAGAACTTTCGATACGATAACAGACTTACATAAAGTACTGACGGAGATAAGGAGCGAGCCCGCGGTAAATAGGACGACAACGTGAAAAAAACGTTTTGGTTTTTGGTTTTAATACACCACAGTGTTTTACCGCACAAAAGGCTCAATAATTTGACGATATTTGTAAAGAAATAAAAGTTTATACATTGTTTAAGTACGTTATCGTTTTCTTTGTGATTATGTTTGCATGCGCATTGAAATACGTGGGTAGCCTATATAGCGATATCAAAACAGTAAAACACTAGTGATCGAAGAAATCAACCAGGACGGAAATTGCTAGATAGTATACTTCAAAATAAGGTTTCCGTTTTTATATCAATTTTTTAAATAAGTTAGGGTTAGGTTAGGGTTAGGTTAGGGTTGGGGTTAGGGTTAGGGTTAAGGTTAGTATTAGGATTAGGGTTTAGTTTTGCGTTAGGATGGTTTTTCTACGTTATATAAACGGAAACCTTATTTTGAAGTATACTATAATCTAACAATTGCCCAATAAGGACGGTGACGTTCGTGAGCTATAAAGAAGCCGACTTTAAAGGAGTTTTGCCTGGCAAATGCTCAGAATTGCTTGACGTAGTTATCGGGTCATTGGTTGATGTTATGAACTAAAATATGATTGAGTGCCCAAAACAAGAAACAAGGAGAAGTAAGGCCAAAACGGCGGTTAGTTTGGCCTCGAGGCGGCTTATTGGTGCAGCCCACCGAGGAACAGAGTATGATGTGTTGAAGAGTTTAATAATCGAACTCGAAAAGGCTTACGATGATTTCTGTGTAGCAAATGAAGAATTTGAACTTCTCGTGTCAGAGGAAGGGAACAGCGAACATCGTGTTGTGAACGGAGAGGATGTTAGTGAGTATAGAGACACTTTTTTTTTAATTTAAACATATTTTTAATTTGTTTAAACAAACAAAGTTTGCCCCAAGAGCGCGTACGCTCATCTAGGGGGCTCACTTCTTACAATTGCAAAATGTTTAAATAACATGCCAAGTATAGGCCCTATAATAAAAAGAAAAAGAACTGACGACGGAAGTCAAGAATCGTGCAAATGAAAACGTTTTGTTTCATTTATATACGACTGCACAAGAGAAAATAACTCTCTGTTTGATTCTAATGATAATGAAGATGATCCATGCAAAAACATTTCAACAATTTGCGCGTCGTTCATTCTTGACCAATCGTCAGCAAACATCTGAGCAGCAGAGGAGAGCAGTTTCTGTCTTTGGGCAGCAAAAATTGGACAATGAAGAAAATGTTTTATAGTTTCAGTATTAAAACCACACATACAAACTGGGGATACTTTACATCCTATTTTAAAGAGATAAGAATTTAATGCACAAGCACCTAAGCGCAGGCGAGTGTGATAAACAGAAGAAAATCTATCATTGGATAAATTATAAATAACATTTGGAACAGGTAAGTCAAAAATGGTAGCTAAAGCGTTTTTAAAGAAATCGAGTGAAACTAGCGAACGCGTCTCAATATTTATGCTATTCCACAGTCTTGCAGCAGATGGAAAAAAGGATCTATAACGTTCAGTGTGACCATTAAAAAGAGAAAAGTCTGAAACCGTTCTTAAAGAATAGTTTGTTCTTTCGTAGACTTGTAAAGGAAGTAATTCTTTAAGATAAGTTGGACACAAGTTATTTACAATCTTATAATATAAGATAAGCTTATGAATTTTTCTTCTAGTAGACATACTTTCCCATCCCATTTCTTGCATGAGACGATGCTTACTAGTTCCTTTTATTGCCCCGGTTACAATCTTAGCTGCCTCATATTGTACATGCTCAAGTAGATCACAATCACTGGCTATACCGTTGTGCCACAATACGTCCGCATACTCCATAACAGGACGAATAAGTGATTTATATAGCTTGCCTAGAGTGTCTCTACTCACTTTAAATTTCAGGCCTTTTAACATATTTAGCTTTTTATTAGCATTTTCAGAAATATTTACAATATGGGCTTTCCAAGAGAGGTTTGATGTGAGTTTAACACCAAGATGAGTATGTTGCAAGACTTCACAAATTTTCTCGTTTGCAAAATAAAGATCAGGATGAGGTGGTTTAAAAACTGAAAAAGTCATCCATTTGGTCTTCTTTGTATTTATAGTAGCAAGCCATCGTTTTGCCCATTTTTCTATTTCTTCATAAGGTCATTATTCAATTTTGTTGAAGACGTGTCTGGATTGTCAACAGTAGAGAATTTAAGATCTACGACGCGGCCGGCTCAACGACGCGGTCTGAATTTCAGCTAAAAAATGAACGCTAAGCAATTTCATTACTGTAATAAATGTTTGACGATTTTCAAATAACATTACAAACTGCTAAGTTTGACTAAAGCGATGCAATGTATGATGTAATTTCGACTTTAAGTATCACCTTTTGGGTCGCAATAAGCTTCGCGTTGCTTGAAAGACGTGATAATGATTAGTTTAACGTTCTGCTGAGCATGACAAAGCCGTTGAGAATACCCCTGGGACCACCAATTTATTCACAGTTTTTGTCTTGCATGACAGATTTCTTTCGCAAGCGCGTCGTTGAGCCGGCCGCGTCGTAGATCTTAAACTCTCTAATATCATACAAAGAAGTGTCGTCAGCATATAATAAAGAATAGGATTCAAGATTTTCGGTGATATCGTTTATATAAATAAAAAAAAGCAACGGGCCAAGTACGGACCCCTGAGGCACACCTGCGTTTATATTTTTCCACTGTGAATACTGGCCATCTATGACCACTCGTTGTTTCCGATTAGATAAATAACTTTCAAACCAACTTAATAAAGGGCCCCCAACACCAATTAATAGTTAAGCTTGTGTAAAAGACCCTTGTGCCAAACTCTGTCAATTGAGTGTCAAACGCTTTACTAATGTCAATGAAAACCATTCTTACTTCTTTGCCTTGCTCAAATGCCTCGTGGATCTTATGTACTAAATATACTAGTTGATTTACTGTCGAATCACCTGGCCGATAGCCTGATTGCAATGGGTTTAAAAAATTTATATCCAACAAAAAATTATAAAGTCTTGTAAAAACGACTCTTTCAATTATTTTAGATAATGAATCTAACAATGAAATCGGCCTATAATTCAACTTTGACTCACGATCTACTTTAGTTTTAAATAATGGAATAACATATTTGCTGCTTTCCACTGCTCAGGGAAAACTCCTGACGACAGTAAAAGGTTCACTAAATACGTAAAAGCACTGGTTATACCATTTGCACAAATCTTAATTATTCAATTGCTTATACCATCTGGACCACATGCTTTACTAATATCTACTTCACGTAAGAGGCTATTTATTTCATATTCAGTAGCAATCACGTTTGACAAAATAACAGAAGACTGAAAAGATATAATATCATTAGGAATAGTCGCAGCACCATCATCAATGGTACTCTGACTACAAAAAAAAATAGTGTTATAATGAGGCTAGGGAAGTATTCTTGGATCAAAAGGCTGCTGAGCAAGAAATAAGCAAAAACTTGCAATAGAAGTTTAGAACCAGCGAGAGTTGCCTTAAAGCTAGATTCTAGTCGAATAGGTGAGTTAATCGAAACAGTTGATATAAACATTAACTCTACCAGTCCAAGTAAACGAGCATTGCAATTAGACAAAGAAGAATTGCAGGCAATGTTAAATGTGTTGTGTGGGAAATTCTTTGAATTGAGTTTGATTGGGTCTTCAAAATCAGAGCAAGATATTCAGTTACATCTTCAGATTGATAAGATTATTGCACAAGGTTTTAAACCGGTTAGATCAATAAACCTATACCTATGTGACTGTCAAAGTTCTATCCAGAAGACTCCATCACCCCCTATTGTAAATCAAGTAGATGCTGTGGGTGCATCTGCTGCACTTCTTAATATAGACTCCCAAAATAGTGCAGCCTCTACATTGGCCCACCTATGACCAATCCCAGCTAGTACTCAAATTAACCACACCCCTACTGCCCCCCCCCCCCAAGGAAGGGACAGTGAGTGTTATCCCCCCACCCGCAGTTACAGAGACAGATACTACCATCAATGTGTCTGCACCTGAATTTAAATTAATTGTACCTTCAACAATGAATGATCCAGTGAGTAGTTCTGTAATCAGTGCCCAGACCAACTATACAGGTATCAATCCCCAAGCCATACCCCAAAGTGCAAGTACATCACAGCAAACCTTTCCTATTTTATATCAATACCCAACCACCAGCATCATGTACCACCCCCCTCCACAGATCAATCCATCTACAATCAACACACCCCACCTCTTAAGTACCAGCACCGCCCCAATCTACTTGTCCCCACCTGTCAATCTCACGCCAAGTTTTCCACCAAATTCGATTGGCTTACACCAATACCCAAGCAACACCCAACCCCACCTTGGTACAAGTATGACCCAAGCAACATCACAGCAAATTGTCAGTAACACCAATCCATACCACAACACCCCCCTACTACCACACCATAGTATGACCACAAGTCTTTACAACAATGTACCTCCACAGAATTTGGTAAGTTCACCAGAGACAAGTATGTATTTGAATAGTGTGTCCTCAAGTGCTCCTCCTACTAGCCCATCAATTAACATGGAACTCACTCCACTACCGGTGATTTATTCTACTCCCAATGCGAGCGAGACATATTTGGTCAACCCCAGCACAGTCCCAATCCCCTCAGTCGGTCCACAACCTACACCTCACCTCAGCCCTAATTCACTGGGTTTCAATTCTCGGGTTCAGGTAAAGAAAATGCCTTTTCCAACATTCAGTGGTAACCGCAAAGAGTGGCCAGAGTTCAAAGCGATTTGGAAATCGGTCGCTGAGACAGCATATCAAAATAAGACTGCTCTGGCCCATAAGCTTAAAAGATCGGTAAAGAGTGAGGCAAGTCGACGAATAAGATCAGTCAATGTCACCAAACCGGAAGCATACGATGTCATGTGGCAGAAGTTAGAAAGTTTCTACGAGGATGTTCGTGCAAGTGTACAAGCTGCACTAGAAGATTTACATAAGATTAAAGCCGTACCGACAAATGATTACAAAGGCTTGGTAGAACTTGTAGACGAATTGGAATCAGCGTATAGTCAATTGGAAGAGTTGGGAAACCTGGATATTTTGACGTTGAGAGATGTTGATTTCATCACCGAACTGCTACCATGTTATTTGAAAGTAGAATGGCGAAGAAGATATAGGGACATCACGGCCAGTGAAAAGATACACCCTTTCATCCCTTTCATGCATTTCCTTGAAGGTGAACGAGAAGCAGTCTCGAATGGCCGAGTACCAGCCAAAGGGAAGGAGAAATGAATTTCCAAAATATGAGCGAAGAAAGCAACATGTACAAGGTTATCATGTAGGGAAGCAATCCTCCAAGAAGTATTACAAGTGTGCCTATCCATCTCACAGAAAGGACAGTATCAGTCATACCACATCAGAATGCAAAGAGTTTCAGAAATTACCGGTTAGCGGGAAAGAAGGAAAAAGTGAACTCTTAAAACAAATTAAATTCAAATGCTTTCGAAACCATAGAAGGCTAGACTGTCCCAAGAAAGTTCCCTGTTCATGTGGAAGTGGTCAACATCATCAGTTACTCTGTGAATCCAAGCGTCCAGAAGAAAATAAGGGTACCGATTTCGCACGGAAAGAAACCCACGTTTTCGATCGGATTCATTATCCCTGTATCCCATCTACCAAACAGCAGTCTGTGGAAGCAACAAAACTGTATCTGTTTTCTGTGATGGAGGATCAAATGCCACCTACATAACCCACCGGGAAGCTGAAAGAATAAAAGTCAGGAAACTGGGAAAGATCACCCTTGACGTAACCACCATGGGAAATGCTGAACAGACGTACCACACCCAGCAGTATGAATTCACCTTGCAGACAAACTCGGGTAAGAAGGTAATCACAGCTTATGGAATGGAAAGAATTACTGGCCCAGTTAGCACATTGAACAACGAAGTTTTGAAGAGTCTATTCCCGGAATATGATCCCGATTCACTCAAGAGAAAATCAAACCATGTTGACGTTCTTTTTGGATGTGATTACTATGGATTGCACCCTAAGCATGAAGACTCTCGGCGCGGAGATAATCTGAGTATAATAAGTGGAGAATTACGTGTCTGTCTTCAAGGTGCCCACCCCGAACTTGTCGAAGGAACTAAGCATGATTCAAATCTCGCGAAAGTGATTCATGAAGTTAACGTTAAAGTGGAGACATATCAACTTCATCTCGAGGATCACCCTCAGTTCAACCTCAGTTCACCCTCACCACCCCCTTGTTCAGCTGAAGCAGATCAGCCGTTTTACAACATGACAAGTGGTGTTCATCTGGTAAGAGAAAAACGACAAGAAAGTCAGGTTGGAAAATTCATTGAGGGCGAAGAGCTTGGCACTGAGACAAGCCCTCGTTGGGGCAGCTGTCGGTGTGGTAAATGTCCTATCCTTGGACACACGTACTCGTTCAAAGAAGAGCAAGAACTTAAAATTATTCGTGAGAATCTAGAGTATGATGATTCCAACCAGTGTTGGATAACCAGTTATCCTTGGATCGTGGATCTGCGTAGCCTATCTGATAACTATAATGTCGCCTTAGCAATTTTCCCTTTCGTAAACGGTCGTTACCATCCGGAACAGGCGTTACCATCCCGAGTCTTATAGAATTCTGGGTAAGCAGAGCAAAATTCCTCGTTGTCCCATGCTGTCCTGCATGTCACATTTTTGCTCACGTGCAGTGGTTTTTAGCGGGAAAATATTTCTATAAAACTATTAATAAAAGAGTGTAAACGATGGCAAATCCTTTAGAAAAACAATCAGTGAAGAAACCAACAGGATGGAATACTTTTTATCAACAAGTTGCGGTGAGTTGATAGTAATCATTTTTGTACGAAATATACCATTCCGGATTTGTTGATGCCATCTTGATGTCAGGACAACAATTCGTTTTAAAACGATAGAGTATTCAAATTTAAAAATAGCGTTATAAAACATAATTTTCAGAGAAGTTCCGAAGTTCACAAGGTCATATAAATGAATACTCGTATATTTATTTGAATAGTTTTAATTTTGTTTCACTTTTCACAGCCTGGAATTATTCAAAAACTTGGGCCCGAGGCAAACATTGGCAAAGTGTCCACTGTGGCATCCAAAATGTGGAGGCAAATCGGTGAAAGAAGGAAGGTAAATATTCAATATTCATAGTATATTGTACTATATTAGAAGTATATATTTATTTAAAGTATTATGCTTTGCCTTATTATTTTTTTTATATGTTTCTCGCCCAGAAAATCACTAAAATCACTGAATATTTTGAGTAAAAATATTTATATAATTATAAACAATTATACCAGGAGTGGTATGATTGTTTTACTATAGACATTCACTCAGTTCAATGAAAAAAGACCTTTTTATCATTAAAATAGACGATGTGCTACCCACCCCCCTCCCCATGGATTGACATCAGTAGACATTAATGCACATCAATACACCTCACTAGACATAACTTGACATCAGTAGGCATAAATAGACATAACTGTTTACAACCTATGTTAGTCTAGCAATGTCTAGTGATGTACAGGCTTCTCCCTAGAAATATTTTGAAATCTAGTGTTTCTGAAACATATTTGCTTAACAGGAGTGGAAAATGAAGGCACAACAGACAAGAGAGGACCTTGATACAGAGATGGTGCAAGAAAAGCTTGACTGTGAGAAATGTGGCAAGATTTTCACCAGAAGCAAGGACCTGAAGTTCCATATCAAAGGTTGTCAACAATGTGTCTGTGAGAAATGTGGTCAAAAGTTTACCCATGCATTGCAGTTGAAAAGGCATAATTTGAAAAAGCACTCGAAGACTTTTTCATGTAAAACATGTGGCAAATCATTTGGTTACAAACACCATCTGGATAGACATAGCCGTGTTCACGATACTAGTGTTTTCACTTGTAAAATATGCCACACTAAGGTCAAAACAAGAAGCAATTTTATTAGGCATATGACTCGGCAACATGATGGGTTAGATCCTAAAAATTACTGAAATCAGAGTATTTATTAAAAAACGTTTCAATATCAATTTTTGCTGTTCTTCTTTATATTTCAAACAGTTTGTAGCAGGTAAATAATTAACTGATGTTTGTCAGAAAAAAGTCCTAAGCATGTCCATTGCTAAAAATGATTGATGCATTTTGGACAAGAGCAAACTTACCATCTTATTTTAGGGGCGGACCATTAGAAAAGTGATGGGGGGGGGCAAAACCAAGCCTCCTTGCTTGGAAGATAAGCCTATAAAATTCACTTAAAAAAAATATTTCCAGCCATCAAGTTAGCCTGAAACAGCCGCATATTTTTGACAGAAATATGCGGCTGTTTCAGGCTACCATCAAGTGAGAAAAATATATATTTCTTCTATAGGTATACAAAAAGATATTGCCTCTTAGAAAATCCCCCCCCCCCAATCACTTTTCTAATGGTCCGTCCCTTATTTTCCTATACCAGCAAGTTAAATATTAAAATATATATGTATAATAGATAACTTTAAATTTTGTTAATAAAGTCTCTTGAAATCCTGACATTAAGATAAAAGTTATTGTACGTGCCTTATCATACTGCAAAAAATTTGATCTGTTCGATTTGATTGAAAACAATAGTATCTCTGAATAGTAACTATGCCCTAGTCAATATAGAGTGAACAAACTGTCAAATGTTTACTGTTTTGTAGTTAATTTATGCACATTTAACATTTTGATCTCATCACATGTGACCCAGACTTTTTGCTTGGAGGTACATTTTCCTTCACTGCCATAGCAAGACTGTGCTGACGTTTTGCACGCTTTCTTGGTGGTTCTAAACACTTAAGAGTTGTTGACCTTCCTTTAGCGACAGCTTGACGGCTACCATTGTTTGACTTTCGTTTTCTGCCAGGCTGGATTTTAATCTTTTTGCCAGTTCTGGTACTTCTCAATTCATCAGTGCCAAAGTTGAAAAGTGCAGATACTAGGCTCCCAGGCATTCCACTGCTTAACTTCATCAAACGGGCTGAGAACTGTTTCATACCTTTGGACAAATTCTTGTCACCTGTAGACTTCAGTTTCTCAACCAATGACTCACAGGCTCTATTTACTGCTGTAATACCTTCTTGTATATGCTCTTGTTCCAATCTCTCTTCAGTATCCACCAAAATGGAATCATCCATGCTTATTTCTTGGCAGTCTGGTTGTTCCAAACTATTAACTTGATGTGATTGATCTTCAGCTTCAATGCTGTGAGCATTGTTGCTTTTAGCACGGAGATTTGTATAGTAGGTAATGGGCAAGGTTTGGCCTATTGCAATCCATGCAAGCTTTTGTCTTGACTGTGGGTTAGAGACAGGGACAAAATTGATACAGTTGGCAGTATTGGAAGCCCACAATATGTACTGATGCTTACAAGGGCTGCCATCTCTCCCCATGACACAACTGCAAACACCAATTGACATATCTACAAAATAGCTGAAAAAATATAATTATTATAATTACATGGGTAAAAATGCACAACTTGTAACAAGTCTGCAATCAAGTTGGGTTTGCAGTGCTTGTTGCAAGTCGTTGGAACAAGCTGTTAACAACTTATATCAAGATCGATGGCATTATCAGACTTGCTACAAGTTTGTTCTGTCTAACATGTCTGATCGATGCAGCCATAATATAACAAGTATGTTACAAGATTGACAACACAAGCTTGGAACAATATTGTTATAACCAGACTGGTCTCATAACAAGGTTGTTACAACTCAGTGGCGGACACTTCGTGAAATATTGGGGGTGTGAACTTAAGTTGCCAACATATCTCACTCTTCTACTGCGGCAAATATCAGTTCTTTCAAATTTTTTGCCTAAATTTCATGCAAATTTACTTTAATTATAAGCCTATCAGGCTTTTGTGGTTGTGATCTTGTTAATACAGCTTTTTCACACAGCTAAGAGATTATTAGGGGGGCAAGCACCCCCCTTGGCCCAACCCCCTTAGTGTCACCACTGTTACAACTTGTTCACAAGTTCAACGGTTAAGATTCAGGGGGTGCACTAAATTCCACCAGCCCCCCCCCGCCCCAAAAAAACATGAGCACTGGGCAATACCTTTTGCCCTCTGCAGTATAAGGGTGCTTAAAGTTTTGAGGGGCATAGATAAAAAAAAGATAAAACTGCTTTCCAAACAGTACCTTTTATCCTCTTCTGATAAACTGGGAACCTCAAATACATTATGCTCATATGTAATGACTTTCTCAAGGTATGTTTTCTGTTCCTGTTGGGTTGGAATTTTAAAACCTTGTCCACCATCTACTTTCCGCTTGTTTTTACCAAGAAATCGGCGCCTAAAGTAGCCATCAAAACTCCCATCTGCAATAGACAATAGCTTGTCTTTGAAATGGTTTTCCAGGTCAGCAGTCAGTTTGTCAAACAATCCAACCACATTGTATTCCTTCACTCTTCTTAATAGTATATCTTTCAACACCAGTAACTGAGCTTCTACAAAGTTGTTAGTTTGATTTCCTCGGACACGCATACTAGATCGGAAGCAAAGGGCAAAGTCCTTCTTGATCACATAAAGGTTTCTGTAGTACTGTAAAAGGTTGGGATACTTGCTACATGCATCATCACTCAAAAGATCTTCATAACAGTCATCAAAACTCTCTTCAGTCATTGCATACAAAGCCTTTTTGAAAAGGCTGAAGACTTCAGGTCGATCATGCTGGTTGACAAGGTGGTCTTTTTCAACAATCCACCTCCACACTTGCTGCAAAACATGGAAAATGCATAACAGGAGTGTTGCAGTTGGCCATACATCTTCCAGGCAGTTGTCTGTAAGAATAACCTCAGGATCTGTAGTGGGACCACGACCATTAAAAGCATACTCAGGAAGGCAATCACTTAACATCTGAAATGCTTGCTTCACCGTGCTTTTTTTTTCGTCACTTGTTATGACAAGGCCACAGGGTAGTGCACCAGATACATTAGGTGTACACAACAAGAAAACTTTCAGGTTATGCTCATCTGTATTTGAGGTGGCATCAACAAATACAAGCTCGCCACACTGAGGCACTTCCTTGTGAACTTGCTTCATTAGAGGTGTGACAACACTGATAATAAGGGGCATTTCATCACCACAGTACACCTGATACTTTAGTGATGCATCTAGAAAAATATTAATATAACATTCTTATCATGTTTTAATAAGCTCTACACATTTTATACTTTAAGCATAGATGGACTTTCTGGGGATGCAGGGGGTATGCATACTCCCCCAGAAATTACTTGCACCCCCACCCCACTCCCATGAAAGAAATTTGCATCCCCCAAGAAAATTATGCAGCTTGCTGATTGTAATTGTATTTCGCAAATTAAAAGCTAGGCTAAGGAGCTTCAATACTCGATAGTCAATGCATTTTTCTGTACCTTCAACTTGCACCCCCCTGAAATTTTGCACAGGAGATGGACATGACAATGACAAATTAACCTTTACAAGATAATTTAAAAGCGAGGATGATGAATTTTGAGATTTTGCTGCAAAATCTCAAAATTCATCCTTGCTTTTAAATTATCTTGTAAAGGTTAATTTGTCATTGTCATGCATTGCACACTGCGATTTGTTGGGCTGATTTTAGGTTTTTCCAAATGCTACTGGAAAATATTTCAGTTAATCATTTCATGACTACATTTGCCAGATATCATGAATGTGCACCTGAAATCAGCTTGACAAATTGCAACATGTAAACATAGCTTTATAAGTTAGCACATACCTGGATTGTTTTGCTGATATTCCTCCATTTTCTCTTCCAGCCTTTGAAACATCTCTCCATTCTTGCCACCAAACTCATCCTTTGTGTACTGACTATATAGGTAGTTAAAATCCCTTCTTCTAGGTGTGACAGATCTATCTGCTTTCATAACATGATAGGTTATCTCATCGTTGCAGGATTTTTTGAGATTTTTAAGAAAGATCTGTCTGGCCATGGATGGTGTATTTCCATCTTCATACAATTTCCTTACTTTTTCAATAGTGCAGGATGAAATGTTTTTAAAGTTTGAAGCCTCAAGATTCACTGTGTTGTGATTATGTGCCCACTCAATGTCTACAAAACAAATGCCATTTGTATTTATCTTTATAATCAACTGGAAAGGACAGTTCGTATTTTTCACTCTGGCTGCTGGATTTGTCTGTAGTTTTCTTTGAGGATCTTTGTTTGGGCTCCATCGTCTAGTGTTGTTGACACCGGTAATAAGTCTGGATAAGATATCCTGTTGTTGGCTTTTTCTTTGTTTTTACTTTCAGAGTGATAGAATTGATGGTTTGAAATTTCGAATAACCAGGGATGAACATTTTCGGTAGTTATGTCTTCAGTTTGGAAGGACGATTTCTGTTCATTAATAACTGAAAGATTGAACTTATAACAGTAATCCTCTGGCAACTTCTCTAGAAGATTAGCTTCTATGTGTTCTTTTTCAACATTTAACAATGGAATACTCTGAGAATCGATATCACATTCGCTAATAGCAGAATTTATTAACTCGTCAAAACCAGCAAGCATGTCCGCCATATTTAACATGCAAGGGCAACAGACAAAGAAGCGGGACAGCATGGGACGAGGAATTTTGCTCTGCTTACCCAGAATTCTATAAGACTCGGGATGGTAACGCCAGTTCCGGATGGTAATGACAGTTTACGAAAGGGAAAATTGCTTCGCCGATCATAACTTCGGCCCCTTCAGACGTATCTTCTTTAAAACAGCAGCGATTGATACACCGGGTGGAAAGCGTAATTTAAAAATGAAAATTAAAGCCCAGCAAATGACTTTCAGACAAGACAATTATTCGCTTATTTGAATAATGTATAACCGTTTAAAAATTTGTATATATATAACGCACGCTTGTAAATAAGTTTAATTGCTCTGAAGATGTTGTGAACAATACAACGAAACGTATCTTCTTTGTTAAATATTCTTGTTCGAAGCACTATCAAAAACACTACTTAGAGTGTTATTTTTCAGCTTGTATCTTTAAATTTGCTTCTTTTATTATGGTATTCCATTCTTGGTCTGACTTGACGTGAACTAATTTCAAAACACAGAGTTTCAAAACGTCAAAACATTTGGTTAATGATTAAGAGCGGTTGTCTGTAATAGTCAGGTAAGACGTGTAAAATGAGAAAATTCAAAATCTTTCAAACTTTGTCAGAATGTAGGCCTATATGAAGTATTAATGTTATGAAAGTTTTATTTCGATCGGATAAATATTGAAGGAGAGAGACGTCGAAATTGGTTTTCCCAGGCCACTTTCGGTTTTTAGAGGTCATTTTACGGCACTACTAAAAACGCTCTATTTTGCACGATAGTGGGAATATTTCACAAAACATGATTTCGTTTAATAAATTAGAGTTATTTATTGACTAGCTGACGAAATGAATATTTTACAGATTTTCTGAATGAATATTTTTTTTTTTTATTTTCGAACCTCTTTATTATATGCCATATTAGGCAGCAAATATCTCCATTGTTACATTGATTCAGACAAAAATTCATAACCAGGTCAAAGAAATATGTTTTCGCTTGCTATTGATCAAATAAAATTTTGGGGTAACTTAGAATTGAATGTTTGCCGAATTTTTTCGTAACCCCTATTTGACCCAAATAACTGAATGTTATATAATCAGCATCAAGTCATGTAGTTCAATAAATAACCAAAGAGCTCATCAAAAGCGTTTATTTCTTCGAGTAAACAAGCCTAGGCCTATAAAACTTCCTTAGCTAAAGCTGTGAGATTGGTTAGAAGCATTTAGGTCTAAATCACACTGTTTACAGTCGCTTATTGTTCAGGTAATGCCCGATAGCCGGTGCCGCTGATTTGGCAGATTTGGTTTCAATTATATTTTATCAGGGATATGCCGCGATAAGTATATAGCGAGTATATTTTCTCTCCCCCTCCCATAAACATGTGTTCTCTCACGACTCGTCGTGCTTATACACTTTTTGTACATAAATAGTGCACGCTCTTTTTGTCAAAAACAATCACATTGTTTTGACGTATTTTTAGTCGTATTTCCGGTTGGGTTAGCTCATTTCGAGCCTGAGCTCACAGGCGGACAAGAAATGGAAATACCGTGATAAAAGATGCAAATTTGAAGATACAGGATTGCAAATAACACTCTGAATAGTGTTTTTGATGGGAATTCGAATTTGAAGGGGCCGAAGTTATTTTTGGCGAAAGGTATGGCTATAGTCTATATTTTTGTTCAGACAATCGCGTAATTTGATAGTATACGATCGCGTTAGACTTTCAAACTCCCATAAACCGCTACAATGTTAATAATGACTATAACTATCGTCCGGAGTTGATCTTTTATATCTGAATCGAATGGTGGTATTTCTGTCTTCATAGCGTGCACTGAACCGAAGATATGAAATTTCTATCGGTCAACCTCTCGAGGATGACCTCGCAAAGAGTTTTAATTTAATTAATATTAAAGCTGGATTCTTTCAACGTGATGTCATGCCAAAAGGTGTCTTCTTTTCTATTTTTAAAAAAGACCCTCTATTGATTTGTGATTTGGTAATATTAATTACAGTTGTACATTTTATTATTTTGTTATTGCTCAATAACTTTGAATTCAGTTGTTCTGAGAAAACATTAACAGTCAAACTTCAGACCAAACCTCTATGCAGTTAGTAGTTTAACTGGCCATCGCTTTTAAAACAGCAACAAGGTAAAGACAACGTGTACGGGTAAGTTATCCATGAAATAAATAGTTGGTTTACAAAATGAATTCCGTCTTCGTGGATAAAAATGAGTTACAAAAAACTCTCCTGTATGCGTTAAATGCTACATGTAGGGATTTCCCTCAGTATATTCCTTCTCTTTTGTATGGCTGTTTGTTATATGCGTCTCTTGTCACTGGGTATATGGCTGTTTGTGATTACGCATCTCTTGTCACTCTAATCCAGTTGATTCAGAATGCGACGTTTTGGGGGAAAAACGTTCCAAACATTATTTTTGCGATAATGGGGGGGGGGTTCAAAATATTTTCAGACCTTTTTCCACCTCAATTTTCAAAACATGTTGTGCAATTCCAGCATTCCGGGGCCCCCTCTGGGAGTTTGGGCCCCCTTTCAAGTTGACTTTTTTTGGACTGAGTACTGCCTGTGTTCTAGATGTATACAGTGTGTCCCAAAAAAAAGGCTACCCTTTGTGAAGTCGAGCGCTAGTGCCGCATATTCGAATTTGAATGCTTTAACTCCCTAATGAGCCCTGGAATGCGTAAAACGTTATAGCAGAGCATTTTTATGCATGCATTGCAAATTAATTGAAATTTGTTCTGCTAAAATAACACAGAATGGAATGCATGAATATAATTGACTACAGGCCCGTTAAACGGTAATAATTTTTGGCCCGGCACTCTTAAATTTGGGCCTGAATGACAGTTGAGAACACATTTGGCAAGTGGAAAGGCCGCTTTATTAGATTTATCAAGCGTGTTGATATGGAGGTAAAAAACTTGGTTATTATTATCTTAGCGTCGTGCATTTTACATAACATTTGTGAAGTGCAAAATAACAACTTTCTGCCACAGTGGGAAGAAAATGTTAACCTGCAAGAACTTGCAGTGCCAACCGATGACATAGTAGAAGAAGATGGAGAAGACATTCGAGAAATATTAACTGAGTTTTTTATGTCAGGATAAAAGATTCCAAACCTTTTATATCGTGATCAGAACATGATTAGTAAAGTTACACTGTAAAATGCATCATACCATTCATGTTGTTGTAAATTCATGTTATATTAAGAGCGACACTGTCCGTAAAAATCGAGCAAAATTTGAATTCTGCGGCAATACACAAAAAATAGATTTCGTTCATATTTTGCTCAAATTAAGGTAATACCTAGTTATAAATGGTGTTTGGGTTAGATTTTCAATGTTTGGTCGATAAACGTACAAATATCAGAAATCAAGAATTTGTCTCCAGGAGGCTATAATTAGCCGCAGACAAACCCGCTGCCATGGTCAGTTTCATCACTTCGCGACGGATTCAAAACTGCCCGTAGATAGTTTTGATGGTATAATGACTATAATTCAAGTATTAAAGAACAATTTTATCAATATGGAATGGCCCAGGAGGCTTTAGCTGGCCTGACAGACGTTGTTGAAATTGGCTATTCTTAGTCAAATTTGAGAATTGCATTTTGTCACTGGATTTGAAGGGGAAATTTACTATGTGCGATAATCGTGAATTTGTTTATATTTCATCCACGGAATGGTATAGCATGAGTACATGTTATATATAAAAACTAGCTTGGGTTATTGCCCTGGAGCCTCACGCGAAACTTTTAAAAAAGCTCATTTTGGTGATTTCCAGTGGAATGTAACACAATTAAATCATTAGGCCCATACGTCTATACCAGAGTCACGAAGCTCAAATTGTTCAAAACTTTGAATTTTGTGTTTCGATATCAATGTATATGCTTTGTATACTTTATAAAGAGTCGTTTAGAAAGATTTTCAATATATTTTAGTGATAGGCCTACTTACAACAAAAGCACAACAAATCATCATATCATTATAATTACTAGACTGTATAACATTGCTATTTATAGCAATTCGATGAGTTTAGTTCTTAGATTATTTGATGATGAGTTTAGTTCTTAGATTATTTACAAAGCAAATCTATATACCTATGAATATATAAATAATTTTAAAATGTTTGTTAGTGGAATCTGGGAAATAAAATCAATGCCAATTAATGTTGAGCGCTTTATAATGAAAAACTATAGCTGTCAACTGAATAACAACTGTATAAAATTTATAGCTGCCTCACTGCTTGTTATATATATATATATATATATAATATGACTGTCTATAAACAACAAGCAGTGTTATTTTTAAGTTTACGTTTTTATATTGATGGGGGCCGGGGGGGGGATTAAGTAAAAACAAAAAAGTAAACTACAATATTAAAACAGTAGCTAAAGCAGATCCTTTGTAAATGATGTCCTACACTGCGTGGAAATGAACGTAATCTTGATTGATTGATTCTTTAATTTTCTGTAGAGGTTTTGTTTTGCTCAAAAATACAGCTTCAATGATGAAGAATGACTGTAACAGTTTATTCATATTCAATTTATCTCGCTTTTTTTAAAATATTTTGACGTTGTGACGTCGTTTCTGTGTACTCGTTACATCTGAAGTAATTTTAACCTCTAATTAATTACGTTTTTAGAAATGTAACGAAAAACGTAATTA